GTTGATTTTGGGATAATGGGCTATGAGGAAAAATAATCTGACCCAGCAGAAGACAAAATCCTATGATTCTGTCACATAGTAGCCATCTCCCAGAAACACTCAATCATGCTTCCCCACCCTGGTGCCTTTCAGATGCATTGCAATCCAGCTCCCATCATTTGCAGTTTGGGATGGTTGGAGTAGACAGGTGCATTGCACATTTAGGGTTCATAAACATCCCTGCAGAGGTCTGTTCCTTTTTTGAAATGTAATAAGTGGTAGTGCAAGACAGAAGTCCATCTCTAAAGTACTGCCTCTTTTAGCAACTGTAGGCTTTCCACGAAACATGTAGTTGGCCACTGAGGGAAGAGAATGCTGGATTTGATAGGCTTTTGATCTGATCTAGCTTAGTCTTCTTATATTCACAGGAACACTCTTGTTCCATATACTCTGAAAATTATTTATGAACGTTACTGACTACGGGAAAAGAATACAGCAAAAGAGGAGAAATCATAACCCAGAACCATCATTTCCCCCCTCCACTCCTTTTTTTAAAACCCAGTTTAGAACATTATTAGCAAACTCAGGTGGAAAGTGCAAAAAGGGGCTGCTGCAAAATGAGACCATAAGCAGAACTGAGCTGGGTCAGCCCAAGGTCCATCTAGTCTAGCATTCTGTTCACAGTGGCCAACACCACCCACAGGTTCTCTCAAGCAGGACATGAGTGTTGCAGCACCCTCCCACCAGTGCTCCCCAGCACTATGCTTTGGATACTGGGTGCAGCCTGTAGGCATCAGGACTAGTAGCCACCAAGAGCCTTCTCCTCCATGAATTTGCGCAATCCACTTTTAAAGTGATCCAGATTGGTTGCCATCACTACATACTGTGGAAATGCATTCTAGAGTTTAACTAGGCACTGTGTGAAGTAGTACTTCCTTGTATCTGTCCTAAATCTGCCCCCAGTCTGCTTCAGGGGATGACCCCAGATTCTAGTACTATGGGAGAGGGAGAACTATGTCTTCCTATCCACTTTCTCTACACCATGCTTAATTTTGTACACCTTTGCCATGCCTCCCCTTCCTGGCTTCTTTCCTAAGCATGTTCAGCATGCTCGAGGGAATCCCAAGATTTGCAGAAACATTTTTATGTATAAAACACATCTGGCGGGAGGGAAAACACAGCTTGGTAATATTGAGCTTGCTCAGGAGTCTTGGGATGCTGAATATTAATTTGAAAAAGGAAACAGAACGCTGGAAATGGGTTGCATCCCTGTTTGGGGGTGAGGATTGACTGGAAATATCTAGTGTTGGTGCTGTGCCAGCAGGACCCACTGTTGGTAGAGTGGAACTTTAGTGTTTCCTAAGACAACTGGAAATGAACTGAAATGCTGAAAGGAGGAAACAAAAACCTTGGAGGAAACCCTGTTAGAAGGAAACAGTTTCCTTGCAATCCATCCCCACAAAAGCTGTTCATGAGTGGATTATGTCTGACAGAGGCTGATATATTGCAATGTTAATAATATGTTTGTATCTCTCATAAACATTTCAGATTATTGCATCCTGAGGAAAGACTGCCTGTTTGTATAGTTCTACAGATGTGTAATGGCTTGGTTTTTTCAGGAGGCACCTATTGAAAGTGGCCAATTCTTAAATAAGCTGGTGAATCAATCCAGAATTGTATTATATATGTTATGCAAGGGATATAAATCCAGGTCCATCAGCAGTTGATAATATTTTATGTGGTACTTCAGTGTTCAGAGCACTTCACATATGTTACCGAGCATTCCTGACAGCAGGATTATTGGGCAGGCTCATAGCCCAGTACCAGAACACATGCTTTGCCTACAGAAGGAACCAGATGCAGTCCTTGGCCTCTCCACCGAAAAAAGAATTAGGCAGCAGGTGATGTAAGAGACTTCTCTCTGGGACCTCAGAGAGCTGCTGTTAGACAGATTAAGCAATACTGGTTTTGATGGACAAATAGCATTACTTGGCAAAGGCAACTAATAGCCCTGAAGCTTTAATTTAGCTCAGTATTATTATCCTGAATTGCAAATGGAATGAGGGAAGAGGCTAGAGGTGATAAGTTGCCCAAGGCCACCTACCGGTTTAGTAGAGATGGGATGTGAACAGGACACTTTCTGGATCACACCTCACTCTCTTTCAGTGCAATCTTAATACACTTCTACTTTGACAGCAGTTATTCCTAGGTGACTTGGTAATGGCAGCTGTAGCCCTTTTTATTACAGGAACTCTTAAAAAGAAGCAATCATATACCAACAAGTAATTTATCCCAAGAATGCATTCTGTTTGCAGCAATATGCTCTTTTTTAATCCCTTCCCACAGATGGGCATTGCTAAATCTCTCTCTGTCTATGTCTTTCCAGTTTTGGGGCAGAGGATAATTACTTGGGCTGTGTATGAAAGTGGGGATGTTGTAATGCTGTAATGCAGAGGTTGGCAATGTATGGTCTTCAAGATGTTTTGGCTTGCAACTCTCATGAGCCCAAGCTAGCATTGCCAATGGTGAGACATGAGGGGAGGTGTAGGCCAGAGCATCTAGCTGGCCCCACATTGCTTACCCTTGCATGGACCAATATTTGACAATATCAATTGCAGATGCTCCCCCCCCCCCGCACCACCACTGCAGCTGTAGAGGAAGAGTAAAAGCCTTCCTAGCCACCCTGCTAGGGACCCAGTTCAGAGTGGGGTCTACACTTACTCTAAAGCTGCAGTGGTGGTGCGGGGGGGGGAAAAAAGAAGTTGCTTGTCTATACTAAAATATTAGTCCACATGGGGTCAGCTCAATGAAGAGCTGGTCTTTTGATTTTTAATAAGTACGTTTTCAGTAGACACAGGAGAAGAAAAATTTGGTAATAGTACATGTAACTTGACAGGAAACCTCACAGCCATCATGTCAAGGACTTATAAGGGATTCCACAGGTAGCTACTACAGCACGTTTGGTGGGAAAAGGCTTTAGCAGCTTGTTAAATGTGCATTCCTTCACTTCTTACTTCTATAATTTCATTTAATACTCCTTCATGCACTAAAACCTTCCAATAAAATCATACTGACATACGAAGTTAATGGAGCTTCTCCTGGGTGGAATGTCCACTTGCCATACATTGTCCCTTAAACTGAGAAGTGAGCCTTGTTAAAAAGCTACACATATTTGATAAGGGAAAAGTGGTGCAGGGGAGGTATAGTTGCTAGACAAGCATGAAAAGTACTGTCTGTTTTGCTTCTTAGCTGTATCCTAATATTATAATGTTATAAATCTTCCTGTCTATGCATGTGACAGCCAATTCCAGTGGCAATGGGTGTGGAAAAATGCATTGTGTTCTAATATCAGGTAAATTATCCTAGAAGTCCTTAGGTAGGAAATGGGCCACTGGGGAAGAGAGAGGGAGAATACACACATGGCTGCCATTTTTGACAGCACATTTCAACTTTTAAGTTTCATGTTGTAAAAACTTGAGAAAGCATTTCTTTGACAAGTTTTGTGAGTCTGGCTGCTGTGAGCAGACAGAAGATAAAAGAGGGAATTGGATGCAGGCTTACACTTGGAATGAACCCACTGAAAGCAATGGGACTTAAGTCAGTCATGACCACATTCCATTGATTCCAATGTATCTACACACTGAGTCTGGATCAAACCCAGTGCTCTCTTATTTTTAGTATTTGCATAAATGGAACTTTGGTGAAATGCGACTTTTCTCATTGTGGTAGCTTTGTGGTATGAAAAATTGCCCTTTCAGAAAAAACAAAAAGCATGCAGAACCTTTTTTATTCTGCCTTGCCTTGGATTACTGGATGGCCCTTGCTTATTTTTCTCCTCCCAGCCCTTATACCTAGTTGGCTACATTTCTTGTAAAGCATGAGAGATTTCCACAGAGGTGAGAACCAGCCCCCTTGTTATCTGATCGATGTGGTGAGCTGCACCTTAAGGTAGTTCTTTGCACCCTGTTGTAATGTGCAGCAGTGCCTGACACATGAAAACTCCTGATGGAAAATGCCCATGCCAGTGCCAGCTGTTCCTGTGATGTTACAGGGAAGCAGGTCTCAGTGAACCTGCAGGAGCAAGGCAACAAAATGAGGCTGCTGGGCTTAACACTTATCCCCAGATGGAAACGTAATTTGATTTCCCTAATTCAAGTCTGGTTAAAATTGACCTTTTTGCTGTAGCCCAACAACAATGCATCCTCTGTCGAACTCTTTCAGTCTGAAAGCTTCATGCAATTGTGTAGAAGCTCTCAGTGGTTACATTATGGAGATGGGTAGGACTGTAGCTAAAAAGAAGCAGGGCCAAACAAATACCAGCATCTTTTAGTTTACAGTGTTTACTGCCAGTAGCTGAGCAGTTAAATGATAGGTACTGAAGGAAAGGGAATATAATTAGGGGAAGGGAGATGCTCATCTGGAGCAGCCTAAGGCCTGAGGTTTAGTACCCCCAACTCCTGGCAAAATGCCATTGATGAACTGACATCTCGATCCCACACACGTAATGAGCACAATCCTGCAAAACCTAACAAAACTTACACCCCAGTGAAGTCAGTGGTGCTTCCAGGCTTGGTCCTACTGTACTGGTTTATGTGATTGTTCACTTCTGCTGGATTGTCCTCTACATGTTTAGCATCAGGATATTAGTTCACTAGTAACTGCAGCAATTGCTATATACATTCTAAACATCAAACTAGAAGAACATTCTCTAACCTGTGGATAATGGTAGTTGGAGTTCAACACATCCAGAAAGCACCAGCTTAGGGAAACTGGACTAGAAGATATTCTCATGATTCTAACCTTATCATGTAGGTTACTATCACAAATTTCCTATCTAGCTCTATTTTTGCTTAGGCAAGAGCAGAGTAGGATGGCTTGAATTAATGAATACATGGGATGAATTATTTATTAAACTACAACCCCATAACTTTCCTGCAAAAACACCCTTGGCCACAGTGAATCAGAGTGCCCTTTATAAAACATTCATTCAACTGGAAGGAGGCCTCGAGCACAGCACCCACCTGCAAATACTGATAAGCTAAATCTTGATGGCAGGACTTGGATTTCAGCAGAGCTCTATCGATGGTAGCAGAAGCCTTTTGGCACATTTCCCGGGCATGGCTAAGTGTGAGTGTGGACCAGGAGCCTCTTTTGATGTAGTTGGACTCGCTGCTGATGGGGATATTGGTGCAGGGGTTGACCTTGAGGTCATTATTGCTCTTGGAGGATTTCAGCATGTGCTCGCTGATTGTGTTGTAAGCATGCATGAAGTACCTAGGCTGGCTGTGATCAGGCTGCCTGCCAAGGGTCATGAGGCCCATAGGGTTGCGATAGTTGCAAGTGTCACTGTCCAGATTGTCATCCGAGCTCCACCAGCCTGATATGTTGGATCTGGTCCTACGTTTAGTCTCAGTGGTTTTTGCCCGGTCCTTACTCTTGCTCCTGCGGTTCTGCTTTGAGTCCTCAGCACCTTTCTTGCCATTCATGCTGCCTTTGGAGGCACCCTCCAGGGATTGTGACTTGGCGAAAAGCTTTTGAACTGAGTGAACCAAATGCCGGATCCTCCCAGGGCTCTCACTCCGGTGTTTGGAGTCAGAGCTTCGCTGGAACTGGAGAGTGCTAAAGCCATCTCTGTGGATTGGCAGTTGTTTCTCAAACTGATCTAGCAGGTTGGCAGGGAGCCTGTTGATCTTGGTGGCCTGGGCATGGCTTGGGAAGGGATTCTCATCTGGCACCTCAAAGTGGGAGTTGTAATGGATCCGTGGAAATGTGCTGCTATTGGAAATCTGATTGTTGAGTGGAAGGAGGCAATCACCGTGAAGGGAGTTTGGAGCAGGGAAACGAGGGTCCATTGTGTAGGAGTCTGTGGGGCTGAGGAGATAAGGGTTCCTGTCCTGGGTGGCATAAAGAGAGTCTTGAGGAGAGTCCAGGTTATCAGAGAGATGACGGCTTCTGTTATCTCCCAACCCCTTCATGGCGGTAGGGTTGCCTAGAGCATTGCTTCTGGAAGATCGTACTGAGGATACTTCAGCTCAGCTCCTTGGTCAGTCTTTCTCCATTGGGAGATTGTCCTAGTGCCAAAGAAGACAGAGATTGGTAAGAAATGGACAACTGAATTCTCAGTATCTTTCTATCCAACAATCTAATGCATGTTACTACCAAAGAAAGATGGGGTGGGGGAGACTATGATATCCAAGAGGACTGGGATATTATAACCAGGTGCATTACTAAATTCAAAATACTGAATAGGTTTAAGCCACTCCCTTTGAAATCCCAGTAGGGCATCTGTCTGATTTCATTAGCAAATAATCATAAATTCTCCCAGCGTATTAAGCTGACTCCTGTGTACAATATGTTTCCAGTTGTTCTCCTCTGACACAAACTCATTTTAATTAGCTGAGAGTGTGAAAATATTTTGCAGCTTGCTTCAAGGCATATCAAGTCATGGATTCAAATTTGTGAAAAATCTATGAATTCTGCATGCAGTTGATTTACAATAACTTCACAAATAGAAAGGAGCTCTGGAATTAGCCTGAATTGCCATAGATTAATCTGACCCATAGGAAAACTCAGCGGTCAATATTTAGAGCTAGATGGGGTTAAAGGTTTAAGAAGAGTATAAGAAAGGCTTCAACAGGCTGATTCATGCCCAATTAAGCCAACAGGATGTAGATTTAAGCCAATTAGTCAAGCTGAAATCAATGGGACTAAACAAACTTAAGCCCAGGAATCAACCTGTAAACAAATATTAATGAGTCAAGTATTTATTTGTTCCTAACACTGATAGGATAGAAGTTAAGCAAGCCTTGCATCACAGTCAGAACTCCTGGCACATGAACAGGGTTGTGACTTGATAACTGCTTGCATAAATATGAAAGGCAATGTTATTCTTTTATTAGCATCCTTACAAATTTTGGCTTGCCAACTGCTTTGGTTTGGCTCCTGTTCCATTTCTCATCATGCTATTGTGCATGGAGCACTCCAGAATTTAGTGGCAAGCAGCTGCAAGGTGCTCTCCAGTTTTCTGCGATTGCAGTGATAAGGCTGTGAATGAGATCTTGCATAGAGATGAGGCGAGTGCCTTCACAGAATAGGCAGTTGGGTCAGCATAGCAATGGGCCATGATTTCCCCTGCAGCAAAGCTAATTGGACAAGCAGAAAGGTCAAGGATGATTCAGGAACATCAATCATGCTTTTGGGCTCTGGAACATCCATATGGATCTGCCCATAAATATGTATATAGGAGAGAAGAACACAGAGTCCTCTGCACACAATTTCACATTAGTAAGAGGCTTTGCAGCTATTCATGCTAAGATAATAGCCATCAAATCTTCTTTCCTGATTGCTGCAAGCAATTAACTCCTACCCTAGAGCCAAAGAGATTCTTTCATTCTTGCAGAAATAGCTGGGATAACCAGGTGCATTACTGCATTTTCATGGCTGCTTTCCTTAGCAGTGTTACATATTTGGCCTCCCTGATCAGAAGTGGGAAGTGATCTTAATGGGCCATCTGTCCAGCTTGGCTAATTTACAGGGTCACAAGTTCAGATGGTCTGATGTAGGACAAGGCATATGTTTGGTACGCTGCTCAACATGCCCCATGGGGGGAGACTATTCTTTGTCCACCGTCAAGTGTAATAACATCCCTGCCCCTACCAGACAAGGGCACAACCAACTGATGCAGAAGCCCCATTGAAATGAATGAATGAGAGATGCACAAAAGCACACATTATATGCAGCATGCATTTCTTTCCATGGGATTTAGGCTGAAGAGCATCCAAACAGATGTTGTACGTGTTGATTGCTTGCCCCATTTGATCTGAAAACCCTTAAAGAGAGGAGTCATTCTGTTTTGCTGATAGAATTATTGGCTGCTCTCAGGCCAGGTCATCTTTCACAGCAGAGATGTGCAAAGACCAGGCTTCCCCTGCTGATGCCTGGCCAAGTTTATAAAACATATGCTTTATCCTCCATCAAGCCTGTACAATACTTGACCCTGTAAGATAGCTAAACAGGTCCAAGCCTTGCAAGAGAAGCAGTTATTTTTCTTTTAGTACAGCCAAATAACAAAGGGGGAAACAAACATAACTCCTTCCTCTCTTAGCTTTTTGCACTGAAGTTCCTTTTCTAAGTATCAAGCCATTGCCAGAATCACAGAGAAGAGGGGCTTGTGCCACCTAGTTGATAACCTGAACTATTGTCCATTTCTTGCCTCCAAACTGCATGCTATATTGGATGCACAGTGCATACATTATCCTAATGTTTTTATTTATCTCAGTAAATAAACAGAAGCCAATGGAGGTTAAAACACACACACACACACACACAAACCTCTGCACGTGTGTGTGTGAACTGGTGTGTGATATTTAAGGAAAAAAGTGGCTGGGTGGGAAGACTTCACTACTACCCACACAGAGTGGGTCAGAAGACAAAACGGGTATAAAAAAGCATTAAGCCTTTACTGCCAGGAACTAAACCATAGCAGAGACATCTCAACATTTAATGTGTGTGGGGGGGTGGGTGGGAAGTGAGGGGTGGAACTGCACAAAATACCCAGCAGTCAGTAGACAGGTAAATGGATGCAGCCAGGGAATGTGTGTGTGAGACTTGCAAAGGCAGTGATGAAGGAACTAGAAAAGATCACTAAGTGTGAAGACATTTCATAGGAAACCAAAGCCAAGATCATCCAGATCATCACATTCCCAATCACTACATATGTGTGCAAAAGCCGGACAGTGAAGAAAGCTGACAGGAAGAAAATTGATGCATTTGAAACATGCTGCTGGAGGAGACTATTCCAAATACCCTGAATTGACAGGAAGATGAGCAAATGGGTCCTAGATCAAATCAAGCCAGAACTTTCCTCAGAAACCAAAATGACAAAACTGAAGCTGTTGTACTTTGGGTACATCAGGAGAAGGCAAAACCCACCAGAGAAGGCAATCATGCTAGGGAAAGTTGAAGGGAGAAGAAGAAAAGGGAAACCAAATATGAGATGAATTGATTCCATATAGGAAGCCACAGACTTGGACTTTGAAGAGTTAAGCAGGGCTGTCCAGGACAGGATATTTGGAGTGAATTTATTCATAGGGTCACTGTAGGTCAGAGATCACTCAATGGCACACAACTACAATGATTCCATAGAGTTCACATTAAAATGCTGTTTGAACAAATTGACTGTTAGTCAAATGCCATCTCTATTTTTATATATTCAGGCAGGCTTTTTGTTTTTGTTTTTGGGATATGAGAACCTTCAAACATGCCACTGCACAACCTTAATCCTTCAGCCTGTATATGGTCCAACCCTGGAGAAGCTTTACTATTTTGTTTTTTTTTTTCCACTTTGTTTTTGTCTTTTTGTCTTAATGTATCAACTGGCTCTCAGACATATTTATCAAATGCTAATGTTTGTGCATTACTTGTCATCTGTGAATTTGCTGCTGAGCTTCTTCCATTCTCAGACTGTGAGGAAGAGCGGAAGAAGCTCAAATTGGCTTTGCTGGCATCCTGAGGATCCAGGCAACAGGAACATAACAAGAAAATTAGCCTAAAGGAAAGTGTAAGCTGCTCACTAAATTAGCTAAACTCTGTGTTCCCTGTTTCAGTTTGCACTTTCTCCTGGTTGCTCAGCATGTATGTTCTGGTTATTCCAATACTTTCACAGAATGAGCAGTGCTGTGTGCAAGTAGTCTTGGTAATGGGGAAGTGAAATGCTTTCATCTGCCTCACAGATCAGTTCCTTGGTGGGTCTCTAGATATCCTAGAACACTCCAAGGCTAAAGAAATGGAAAATTGTTCTCCCCATAATTCTCTCCTCCCATTCTTCTGCCTGCACCCTGCCAACAGTTCCCTGGGTTCTAGGTCAATATGCATTTTAGCCTTTGCAAGCAAAACCCGTTGCTTTTAATTACAGAACACACCTTGTCTAGCTACACTAAACTGGGGTGGGAAACCACTTTTCTAGCAAAGTTCTATTTCGTACTTGCATCCCACAGGCTCACACAGACTCTGTCTTCCAAATAAACTTTCCAGTTTTATTTAAATAAAGGTTCTTATACAGAACTCTCTTGTGCTGCGGCATCTCTGTTCTCAGATCAGAAGCAGTGTGTGTTGCCCTCAACTACTTCTTGATTTCTCCCATGAACCAGAACTCACTCAGGTCAAACCTAATACTTATTTCAAATTGTTACAGGGCCATTGGCCCACTGAGGAAGGGGGAATCAATTGGATGCTTTAAAAACCCTTCCCTCCCTCCCTCCCTCCCTCCCTCCCTCTTTCTTTTCTTCCAACAATCCTATAAGTGCATTCCAGGGTCCACCACTGCTGTTCTAGCTGCTGTAAAAATTGTATGGTGCCTCTTCTTCTGAAGTTGCCCTTGTGCAAGAGGGGCGTGACTAAAGGAAAAGGGCATGACCATGGGCAGGGGAGAGAGAGAACAGGGAATGTTTTTGCTGGAGCAGGAAAGAGTGCCGGGGGGGAGGATGTTGGACCAGTGTTAGGAAGCATTTGGAACAATGCCTGTAATGGAAACAAACCTGCTGCCCCTTTTCTTTCTGAAAATGCCTGTGGCCCAAATGGAAGGGGGGCACAGGGAGGGGGACACAGGCAGGCTTAGGTTGGAGGTTAAGCACCCTGAATGAAACTGTACAGCAAAGAGGTACCTGTATGTTTTCTGCATTGAGGTGACATCATTTGCCAGTCCCAGTCCATATTAAAAACTTAATTCCTAAAAACCACCTGCAACTTAGCTTTATTGCACTTAAATTTTCTTTCCCCAATGCTGTCCTCAGACTCTCATGCTGTGGGTGTCATCTATCTACCTAGGTTCAGAGAAAATGCTGCATTTGAAAAAAAGGAATGATCCAACTAGTTCTTTTTGCAGGACTAAAAGACTATCTGTACCATCTCTCAACAATGCTTTCTCTACTGTGCAGTTTGAACCTATTTCTGGATCTTGCATTGCACTGAAACTGGA